CACCAGCAATAATGGCTCAGAGTAACGCGAATAACCCAGGACAAAAGGGGAGATATCATAATTGTTTAGTACAAGTCTAGTCAAAGGATTGACTTCACTTGTCTCTTTGACGATTTGTTGTGTGGTGCTAAGAATGGCGATACTCACTGCCGATGCCGATTACGAATGATATCCAGCTCTAATAAGTGACAGGCTGGATAAGAGCTCAGTCCGATTTCATCCGAAACACTTGCGAAGGTCTCGAGAGTAGTTTCAACTTTAACGTCGTCATGCTTTGCCTTGGAGTTTATACTTTTTCGATAAGACAATGTGGCTATGGCCATAGCCGGTCGATGGTTTGAGTCCCGTTGGGAGTCCTGACGATTCGGTGAGCCTGTATGAGAACGACTTTTTATAATGCCCATATCAGTGCAGTGCACTACAAATGCAGGCCTCTATTCAGCTGTCGTGGACCGAGTCGCGATAAGAGCAAGAGAGAAGCTGGCCGAAAATGGCGCACACCTACAACGGTGGTTGCTTGGCTCATTTCAACTGTTCTCTCTTTCACCAGGCACTAGGCCCATTATGCCCCTACCTCTCGGTGTCGGTCTGTCTGTCACTAGGATTGCAATGCAAACTGCTAGAATGCACATATTGCGGTTATTGTGTGAATAGGCACTTTATTTGGTCATTTCCAGATGAAAGGGAGGGGGATTTGTGAATCGGCCCTTTTATCTCCTACCCCAGACTACCCTAAGTTTCGCCAAGGGTTGTTATTATATCTTCATTGAATCAAATGGACACAATCGGACAAGAAATTTACTACCAGAGGCATTTGACTCCGCCAAATGAGAGGCGGTTAAGGTGAAACTATCATTTTTGCCAGATGCGTCCGCCTCCGATAGATGGACTCATTGTGTGCTTGTCACCATGCTCCCGAATTTTTCGTCAATTTTATCCATTTAGCTTGGTCCGCGAGTTGACGGCGCCTACGAGAAGTGGATGGCATTCGAAGACCCGAGACGGGGTCCGTGCCGAAGGGGACTCGAAGTGATGAGAGAGGCAAATCTGAGGCCGGGCGGCAGCACCACAGATTTGCTGGCTCCCGGTATGTCTCATTCAACCGGCAACTTTGGTGGAGGAGAACTTCGACTGACAGCTGGCACCAAGGCTCGTATGCCACATGAACGGCCCAGGCGGCTGAGTTTCAACGAATCTCTTGCTCTAACAGTGATGTAGATACTTTCATACGGCGCCAGTCTGGCAACTACTTATGCGCATCATAGTAGTATCATCTGCAGAGTCGCGAAAGCAATCAGCTTGCCCACGAAATGGTCACGATGCAAACACGAAAGAGAACTTCTTACTTTTCAAGTGAACATCGATTGAACATCGCTGCCCCTTTCCACTTCGTCGACAGTTTCACGACTATTTGCATGTGTCATAGTAGTAGCTATCAAAGTTTCACGAAGAGGATCAGCTTACCCATTACGCGGTCCAGTTGCAAGTACTATAGCGAACAAATAGTGGTAAACATATTGAACTTTTTTACTAATAAAGAGAGCATCGTTACCTCCTTTCCACTTTGGCAACGGTATTGTGACTACTTGTATGCATCATAGTAGTGTCGTCTTCAGTGTCGCAGAGGCATTCAACTTGCCAACTCAATTATCATGATGCAAGCGCCCAAGCGAATAAAAAATGAGCATCATTGCCCCCTTTCCACTTTGGTGACTGCTTTGCGACTACTTGCATGTATGAAAGTAGTATCTCCTAAAGGCTGGCGAAGGCGATCATCTTACTACTTAAATGTTCAAGTTTCAGGCACCAAATAAAGCATTCAACCCTTAAGGTGAAAAGGTGCTGGTTCAAGTGATGCCCGATTTTATTATTAAAGTGAGCAACATTGACTTATTTTCACTTGTGCCAACTTGCATGTATCACGGTAGTATTTCCTAAAGGGTCGCGGAGACAATCGGCTTACCCACTAATTGCTCAAGCTGTAAGTACCAAAGCGAGCAAATGGTAGTAAAAGTTTTGAACGATTTTATTATGACAGTAAGCATCGTTACCTCCTTTCCATTTTGGTGACGGTATAGTGACTACCTGCATGTATCACAGTAGTATTGCCTAAGGGGTCGCTGAATCTATCCGTCTACTTCTTAAAAGGTTAATCGGATAGCACCAAAGAAAGTATGCGGCCAATAAAATGGCATATGGCCAGTTTTGCCCACTAATGGCTGGTCATCAGGGCGTCTGTGAGAAGTGAACTGAACATGCGCTTAGTGCTGAATTGGACTGTCGGTCGTAACTGGGACAATGTGACCCAGTATTTGGCAGTTGGCTGCTGAACTCGAAGTGGTGCGAGCTGGGAAGCTGAATCTGGGCTGCTTTTCTGGTTCGCAGACTGTCTTATTCGGCAGCCAAATCTGGTGAAGGAGAACTTCAACCCAAAGCTGGTATCAAGGCTCATAGGTCATAGGAACAGGCCAGACTGGTTCCCTGCTGTACATGGAAAAAGCGTCTGGGTTTCGATGACTCTTGACATAACATTGAAGTCGAGAGTTTGCCAACAAAATCAGCTGTCGAACCCATCGGCTCCAACGCGCATACCCTACATTGAAGTTCCTGTCGTTGGCTGTTGCAACCAGGGTCCTGAATACCTGCAGCCAAGTCCGCAATTGCACCCGTTAGGCCTACTATACACACACACACACACAACACCACACACCCTACTCATATGCACGTTAACACACAACAAAGTGTGTAGGAGAGTCACCTGACGCAGAAGTCGCCACGTGAAAAAGTCTCTCACTAATGTGTAGTGAAGTTGACTTTTTGCTGGGGCGAGGCTCTTCTGACACAACGACAGTTCGACCCTCCCCCATTCAGTCCTCGGGCCCTCTAATCATATAATCACTGAAATAAAGTG